TTAGTTGTTAATCAAAATTAAAACATATAAATTTATTACAAATTTAAAAATAAAAAATAAAGAAAAAATCTCAATGAAAAAGTAAAAACATTATTATTATAAATAAATTAAAAAAAACAAAACAAAAAAGAAAGAAGTATATTTTTTCAAAACTGCATATGCCACAGGTGCCACTTAAGTATGTCATGGGATTCTATTAAAAGAACTAACGGAAATTTGCTATATAAATGAATTTGTAAGAAACTAAATTTTCTAATTAAAATAAAAATAGAATAATAATTAGTAGATGAAAAGTTAAATTTAGCTGTTTTTTCTGCAAGTGCGATGGAATGGAGGATCTGATGTATTATACGTTGTTCATAGCCGGAAATAGGCCGGAGGCGGTAGGTCCTCAATAGATTCAAAATGAAGACGATTCTCTCTGCAAAATTACACAGAAACCAAAGCACCGGTGGAGAGGAGTGAAGAAGACGGCAGTGAACTTGGAATTCTGGCAGCGTTTCTGGAATTTGAGTTAGGTTTCAGCGTTTTAGCGTTCGAAATTATCTTCTTCGCAATCCACACTCGTGAATCCCGTTGAAGAAACTCATACACCTATTCTAGGAGTAAAGACGACGGTAGTGCACTTCAAGTATCATAGAATGGTAAGATTTTGGCTTTTGTAGCTGGATTCCGTGGAAATTCAGGAGTGGAAGAACTTCCAGGTTTTTTTCATACCCTCTAATCACAATAGGAAGCTTGTTGTTCGTTTTAAAGAAATTTGAAAATATTGAAATTCTTACATTCGTTAACATTTTTCATCCTTCCTCAAAATCTTCCTTCCCCCAATTGTTGTTAATAAAATCCAGTAATGTATCAAGTATCGTAGGATAGTAAGCTAATTGGACAAATCAGCATTCTAGATATTAAGAAGTGTACTTTGTCACTATACAAGCAAGATTATTTACCCACTTCCATTACTGTAGTCTAATTGGGGAAACATTTTTATTTTTGTTTTTTTATATATGGCTTGTATTGTTCCTTGACTTTTGAAGTAAAAGTTTTGAAGTAAAAGTTTTGGGGCTTTTGAGTACTGAACTGTTTACTTGTGGCTCTGCTCTGGCTCATGCTCATCATTTATTTTTTGTTAACATTCCTTTTTAAAATGTAGTTTTATATATAAGCATTAAGCAAAAGTGAGCGATAAGTGCCTTCACCACTGTTTCAGTTAAAATTTCAATGTATTTTAGCTTTTGATTAAAACC